CACAACTCCACAGACAGCATTAGTAGGGATGCCTGGCAATGCAGATTTGCCTTATACAACATATAAGAGGTATGAGGAGAGTCCTTGCCCCAGGAGGAGGAGTTCAAGTACACTGGGTATTTGTTCACGAGTAAGGGAAGAATGGAATGTGAGATAGAATGAATTGGTGCAATGGCAGCAGCAATGTGGTCAATGCACCAGTCTGTTTTGAATAAGGAGCTGAGCCAAAAAGGCAAAGGTTTACCAGCCAATCTATGTTCCTACTCTTGTTCCTTCCTACTTATGATCATGAGCTTTAGGTCATGCCTAAAAGACTAAGATCTCTGATACAATTGGCCGAAATGTGGCTAAAAAAGAACATTAGGAGAATCAGGCCCTTCCTGCAAGCTACAAAACTCCTTGTTCAAGCTCTTATCTGTCCAGGCTAGACAACAGAAGTGCTCTCTTCATAGGTTTTCCAGTCAGATCTGTAAAACCTTTGCAACTGAAAAGCAAGAGTGGTCTATAACAAGCTGAAAATAGCTTACTTTTTAACTTAAATGCCACTTATATAAAAGACCTTCGCCACCCAAAATCTTGGATTCTCCCAGTAAGTGTTGAATTATGGTGCCATTCCAAACAGGCACAGAATCTCTTTCAAGGACTTTTAACTGTTTTCTGCTGGTGGAATCATCAATCATAGAACTTGATCTGAGCAGCTGAGCCTTAGACTAACTCAGAAATGTCAAAGCATTTATAAACGGTATATAGTATATGTAACCCCCCCAGCTCCATGCTGGGATTGAACCGGCAATCTTTCACATGGGAGTCGGTTGCTCTAACAAAGGGGCTAAAGACCCCTGCCTCTAGTTTCTGTCGCTAGAGCACATTTAGGAGGTCAGAGGAGTGAGGCTTACCTGCACAGCACTTCACTAGCTGGTCTATATATATATATATATATATATATATATATATATATATATATATATATATATATATATATATATATATATATATGTGTGTGTGTAAATGACAATCAGTGGCTGCAGTGGCAAAGAAAAAACCTAACCATAGAGCCCATTATCTTACTTTTCCAAAAGCTGCTTACCTCATCTCCAATGAGAAACTCATCATCAATGCTGAAAGTGATTGGGTCATTTGGACTAAGCCACCACAGTGGTCTGTAGATGGGGTTTCCAGTCTCTTGCCATTCGTCTGCGTATTTCAGTATCAAAGGAACTACGAAGTCATGATGCTTGGCTATGTAGAACCTGGTGAGGTTTAGAACCTAGACAGAAAAGTGAATGCTTAATAAACTTATATGAAAGAGGATGTGAGTTTTTCTTAACACCATTCTTGTCTAGTTCTGCTGTGGTTAGTTTTTAACATTCCTTAAGAGGTCACATCCATCAGTTAACATAGCCAGTCTCTGGTGACGAAAACTAAGCAAAACCACATTCATAAAAAAAGTATCCTCTAGATGAAAACAGTTTCATGAGATGAATTTTGAATAACTGCCTGCGCTCAGCCTAATTTTAAATAGAGAAAACAGGCATGTGGCTTCCCGTTTTGCTCCTATTTATACTAAGTGTAGTCGCTGAGTTCAGAGGGAAATAACTCAAGAATTGAAATAACAGCAAGAGACAATGTCTGGTATAATCAGCATATTAAAAATTAAAACTAACGACTACGGATTTAAGAGGGTTAAAATTGTCAAGATAATTTCCATGATCCAAGATCAAAACCATTTTATGGTCCAGTAACGATTCTCACATAGGCATAGAGTTCCTAAAAGAAGCGGAAAAAAATCTGTCATGATTTATTTACTGTAAATCCACTTGACACTTAAAACTTTCCCATAATTTTGTTAACATGGGAACGTGGATACACCAAAGAACATTTCAAAAGCAGTTTTATAGATGCTGTGTTACTTTTGAGAATAATAACTCAAACTTCTGTTGTTTCTATTGTATTTAGAAAAATATTTAAAGCTTTAAAATTTAGCACCTAAATAGTTTTCTTTCAAATTTCTCTCTTTCATTATATTCCACAAAAGTATGAAAGTTCTTCTACATTCTGCTAAATATAACTATCTGGGGCGGACTGGCCATAGGACGCACCGGGACATTTCCTGGTGGCCTGACGGTCAATTTGGCCCGCCACTGGGAATCTGGCCTGCCTCCCCTCATCAATTACTAATCGCTGGATCAACCGCACCTCCCCCCCTGCTTTTCAGTTACCTAACCACCAACACCCCCCCCCCCCCCTTTACTTACCGAATTCTTATGTGGACTGAGGTAACAATAACTATCCCGGGTTAAAATGCTGCCCCAGTCCACCCTTGCTATATTTGTCCATTTGTAGAAGTGAAACTCTTCTAATCTATCAGTGATTCAAACAAAACAACACTGACCACCCCTATTATGGACTGTAAAGTCAAATCGTATATGAAACCTGTAATTGTCTCTGGAAATCACTCTTATCCAGTGATTCATTATCATTCCTGGTCTAGCAGTTCTCATTACAGTTGAGATTGAGGGTCATAAATTTTAAAGAGATGTTAATGCAGACCAGATGGACCCTTAACCACAGGTGATATTAGGGAAAGGCCAAGCAAGAAGTAACGCAAGAAAAACAGCCACCTGGAGGATCCTCTCTACCAATCTATAACTCAAACTGGGCTCTAAAGGCTCAACAATATCATTGCTTGAGACTAGATATTCTGCTGTGTATTTAACTAGTATTTTGAGAGGGACATTCTCATGGTACACCATGGCGTGTATGAGTATTACATTCCCGAACTTATGTTAGCAGTGTAAAAGAATCTCTGATTGACTTTCTGATTGCTTGGTTACAGGTGAAAGCTAAAACTCATAAGGGGCCCAAGACCTACACTAGGGGCACTCACCCATTCCTTCTCAAAGACCCATGGAGGTGTCTGGAAGCTGATGACAGGAAGAAAGGCTGCAATCCCCAGCCAGCGAATGAAGAGCTCATCATCGCCAACCAATTCAGGAGAGAGAGAGCCTCCTGCGAGCGAGAGAAATGTAATTTATTTACGTAAAAAAACTGTATATTCAATAAAATTAATAGAAATGTTTTTATGTATGTTTTATTGAATCACCCAAAGTGTGTTTTTGTTTTCGTTGAAAGACATGATGTTTCCTTAGATGTTACAAGTGGTGATTATAACAACAGTAAAATATTTATATGATTTTCTATTACAGTAATTTACAGAAATTTGTCTTTAAAGGTCCAAATACACTTATGACAAATTTGTTTTTCGTTCGTCTTTTAGATCTTAAAAAATACCCAAGCTGCGGTGTACTTTTAGTGTAAATCCTGACACTGAAAGGAATGTTTTGATGAATATGTAATATCTCCACATGGTCTAATTTGGTTCAATATCATGTCACAGCAGTGGATACAGTATATTTATTCCTTCATTGTCAAAACAGCTATACCTCTAAATCAGTGTTTCTCAACCATGTTCCTGGAGGACTACCAACACTGCATGTTTGTGTGTCTCCTTTGTGTGTTACACCAATTACAGGTCTTTCAGTCTCTGCTAATGAGCTGATGATCTGAATCAGGTGTGTTTGGTTAAGGAGACATGAAAAATGTGCAGAGCTGGTAGTCCTCCAGGAATGGGGTTGAGAAACACTGCTCTAAATGGTCCAAAAAACAAGCCAAATGTTTTATATCTCATCTCTCTCTCTCTCCCTGTCTCTCTCTCTTTCTCTTTAATATACATTTATATATTGGATTTCAAGAGTTCACACTTAGATATTGCTTGACGACTGTAAGCAGGTTTGGCATGCTGTCCCGGGAGAGAACCCTGAGCTCGGAGATAGTTGAGCCCAGGGCTCCCGCCAGGTCCATAGAGCATGTAAGGGGAGTACGAGATCAGGTGGTTCTCGAGAGCTCCCCTTTTTTAAAGGGAGGAAAGGAGGAGATAGGGGGTGGATGGGGGGTTTCTTCGGAAAACGAAGGTAAGGGAGTAATATCTAGCTAGGCTATTTATAGTAATTTGGAATAGATCTGATTGGCTAACTAATGAGTGTAGATAGGCGGCCAGCTGCGGTCAATTATATCACGTGCTCCTCTCGAAATTAGTTTAAAAACTTCACTTCAAGAGTTCACACTTAGATATTGCTTGACGACTGTAAGCAGGTTTGGCATGCTGTCCCGGGAGAGAACCCTGAGCTCGGAGATAGTTGAGCCCAGGGCTCCCGCCAGGTCCATAGAGCATGTAAGGGGAGTACGAGATCAGGTGGTTCTCGAGAGCTCCCCAAATGCATGAAGCTCGGGACAGCAGCCGTGTATTCGAAGAAACTCCCCAAAAGGCTTGAAATGCTATATCCGGCTGCTGGATATAGTTATTTGAAAGGAAATGTAAAGAGGGCTCCTTGGAGCAAAGGGTGAAACAGGTTTCTGCGGGAACCCGAGCAGAGTTGGCTTGGGCTGTGAGTACTCTTGCTGGAGTAGAGACTCGGGGAGACCCCTGCGGGGGTCAGAGCCATGGGGTGGGCGGGAATCCTGCTGGAGTCATTACAAGGGAAGGGGAGTGAAGGACTCCGGCTGGAGAGGGGGGTGAAGGGGGGCAGGGGGGGCGGGGACTCCAAAGGAGTAATTTGCTCGAGGAACACTCCTTGCGGAGATAGAGCTGGGAGGTGGCAGCACTATATATAATTATATATTTATATGAAACATATAGATATATAAATATATAATGGGGTAATCTAGGGCCTTGGGGGGGGGCGTTTTTTACTGACTCTTGAGAGAGTCGAAGCTCTTGGCTCTCCTGCGGGAGAGAGAGCTGTATGTGCCATCTCCAGCTGGAGTCGGGAAAAGGAATGGTCGGTGAAGCCCCAGCTGGAGGGTGAAATGGCAGTTGGGCGATGACCCCTGCGGGGGTCCGGTGCTCGGGATTAACTCCGCGGGAGTTAGAGCGTGAGGGTGACAGCACTATATATAAATATATATTTATATGCGTGGGTGCATATATATATACATATATATAAATAAATTTAAAAAATAAAAGATAAATGTGAGAAATAAACAGAAATAAATGAATAAAAGCTAGGGCCGGGGAGGGTCGGTGACATGGCTAGTGTCACAGCTCAGGGCTGGGTGAGCTATTTGGCTGGCTCCAGTAGGAGTCTGGAAAGATGAGGGGAAGGTGAAGACTCTTTCTGGAGGGTGACGGGCGGTATAGGTGCTCTGGGGGTGTTCCTGCGGGAACAGAGCGTGAGGGTGACAGCACTATATATAAATTCATATTTATATGCGTGGGTGCATATAGATGTGAATTTATACAAATAAAATCAAACAAAGAGAAAATAAATAGTGCTATACTATATGTCATTGAAATGACATATAATATAAAAAGCTAAGGCCGGGCCGTGAGATGATTCCTGCGGGAATCGAAGCTCGGGGTAACGCCCCTGCGGGGGCCAGAGCCATGGGGGGGGGCGGGGTCCTACAGAAGTTAGAAAAGTTGATGGGCAGTGAAAACTTCTGTGGCAGCGGCCAGGGGGGGCGGGGGTGACGGGGGGGCCTGGGCAGGGAAAGAACTCTTACTGTAGTTGGGTGAGTGAAAAGGGGGAGAAGGCTGAGTGCAAATCAGCTGGAAGGAAGAAAAGAAATTAGATGGCTGGGTCATGCCCGCGCCCTTGAGAGACTTGGTAGTTCCTCTGCCCTCGGGAAGCTGGTATAGCTGGGTTGTGTTCTTTCCTTGTACTAGGCTCGTGCCTTTGGCCGCTGGGATAACTGCAACGGCTGGTGAGAGTCCTCTGGGCTTCCCTGAGATGACTGTGGCTGAGTCGGATGTAGGTTTTGAAGGCGTCAGAAGACCACCTTCCTAGTGTTTGTATGTGTTGTTGTGATAACCCTTTGTGTGCTGCTGTAGTGGCGGCTCCAATTCTGAATGAGTGACTGGAGTATGATTCTGATGGGAAGCCTGAGTTGGTTAGGACATATTTAAGGTGTTTTTGGAACCAAAAGCGTGTCACTGGGTGGTGTGTGTCGTCTATGAAAAGGGGGTCTAGGGGACTTGCACTTAGTGTTTTCCTGTAGTGTGTGTAAGCTAGAAGAGTTTGGAATGGGCTTGTGGGGGAGGGAATGTTGAATATGTAGATGTAATGTCCCTTTCTGGATTGATCTGTTTTACTTTGCTTAATGAGGAAAGCAATTGTTTCCTCATCAATCAAGGTCAGATCTGCTATAGTAGGGTGGATAGAGGGATCGAATTTAGATGTAACTGTAAATTCAGAACATCTTAGAAATCCAAAAAAGGCAAGAATAAACATTGCATCTAGGGTATGATCTGTATGAAATGAAAAATAGCCTTTCCTCAGTGTGGAAATGCATTTAGCTAGTATGTTGTGTGTGATGGGTAGCCTTGTGTCTGGGAGGGGGGGGCGGGTCTTCTGAATGCCTTTAATAAGAAGGCTAGTTTGTGAGTTAGTGATAGATTCAGAACTGGAGCCGTACATGAGTTTGTGAAAAAACTGAATGCCACTTAAATAGCTCTTAATCGAGTTTGCCTGGATATGTTTGTGAGAATGAAGGTAAGTGATAAATGATGTGATTGTAAGTAGGGAGAAATTGGGGAATGTAGTGTTGTATAGTGAATGGAAATGTTTGAATGTTTTCCATGCAGTGAGATAAGCTTGTAAGGTTCTTGGAGCCACCGCTTGCATAATGAGAGATATGGATGCTTGGTGCAGATCGTGCATGGGATGATTTATTGGAATATCATCTCTGAATAAGGAGGGATGGGCGTCGGGTGCTGCTCCGCCTCCGGCGCTAATTCTCTGAATTTCTGAAAATGAAGACGAGAGAGAGAGTCATCAATTTGATTATGAAAACCAGGAACATGTACAGCAGTTATAATAAACTGTTTTTTGGCTGAAGTCCAAATAAGGCATCGGAGAAGCGGCATTAGAGGAGTGAGAGCGCCCTCTATTAATGCAGTGAACGACGGCTTCATTGTCACAGTGAATGAGAATGCTGGAAGCAGACCATTCATCTCCCCATAATAGGGTCGCGACGACTATGGGGTATAGTTCGAATAATGCAGATGAATATTGGTGTAATGGAACCTCTAACATTTGGGGGGGCCAATCGGATGCGAACCAGCGGCTTTGGTAGTAACCGCCAAATCCTATGGAGGGTGCAGCGTCTGTATAAAGATGGATGTCTACGGGGGATGAAATTAAATCACTATAAAAGAAAGAACAGCCGTTCCAGCACTTAAGGAAGGAAATCCAGAGGCTGAGTTCGTTTCGGCATGGATCGGATAAGGATATATTTTCTTCTAGACTCTGAACTGATGCTGCGAGTTGAAGGAGGTGAGTGACGAACGGGCGTCCTTGAGGTATGATGCGCATGGCGAAATTTAAATGTCCTAATATTGACAGCAGTTCGCGTTTAGAACATTCTTGTTTCTCCAAAAATATGGAAGATAGAGAAATGATGCGATCGACTTTCTCTTTGGGTAAAGATGCTTGAAATTTGTTAGAGTCCAAATTGATGCCTAAGAATTCTATGAAGGTGCTGGGGCCGGCGGTTTTTTCTTCAGCTAGAGGGATGCCGAGTTTGGCAAACACTGCTTTGGTAATCTCTAGGTGTTTAGCAGGTGGGGAATTTGGAGGGGAAATTATGAGGAAATCATCTAGTAGGTGGACTACGTGCGGAATGCCGTAATTGTTAGCGAGGATCCAGCATAATGCTTCTGAAAGCATGTCGAAGATTTTGGGGCTACTTCTGCAGCCGAAGGTTAAACGGACTGCAAAGTAGAATTGGGATTTCCAATTAATGCCAAAGAGATGCCAGAACTCGGGATGCAATGGCATAATTTTGAAAGCTGACGTGATGTCTACTTTCGCGAGCCAGGCGTCGCGTCCGACGAGTTTAATTAAAGAAATGGCTTGGTCTATATCGTGGTAATTCAGAGAGAATTCGTCAGGTGAAATTATGCTGTTGACACTTGAATAGGCGGAATTATGGGGAGAAGACAGGTCGATAATTAGCCGTTTTTTGCCCGAAAATTTTCTGGTCGCTACTCCAATTGGGCTGACTCGATAGGTGCTAAACGGGGGGGCAAGAAAGGGACCGATCATAAATTTATTATCAATCTCTTTCTTTATTAATTGCTCCACCACTTCTGGTTCAGCGTTAGCAGATTGAAGGTTAGGACATGCGAGGTTATAGGAAGGAAGAGTCGAAACACCGGGGTGGAATCCATTAGACAGACCTGAAATGAGAAATTCAGAAAAGTTAGGATCAGGGTGCATGCATAATTCATGGTAAAGATTAGAAATATTGACAGGAGTCGACAAATAGGATCTATGTTTTTTATTTGCTTTCCACACTTGGCAGACTACTCGAGCATGAGCGCCACCGCAGTAACTGCAAATGTGTAAGTATTTGCAAGGGTGGCGGAAACATCTGGCTGCGTTAAAGTTATTGCAAGCTAGAGATGATGGAGGGTTTTGAGAGGAGGGAGGGGGGAGAAGAGCAGGGATAGCAGAGGTAGATGGGCGGGGTACGTAACTAGTGGATCTTGGGGTTAGTAGTTCTTTCTCAGTGGAGGGGATTATGAAGGGACAGGAAGTGGTTGGGTGAAGGTTTGAGCGGCAGACCGCGCAGGAAAGATTGCGGCATCCTAGAAAAACTCTGTTATGGAGATCAGTGTCCAAAGCCCCCCAATAAGAACACTGATTCCATTGAGCAACGCGAATAGCGCATTTTGCTGAAAATAATTTGTGATATGTATAGAAATGCGTTCCCCCATAGGAGAGTGCGAGCTCCGAAATGATAGCCATATAGTCGTTCAGCTCGCGCCTCCTATGGGGAAAGACAGAGCAGATGGTGTCTGTATAACGTGAGAAAGCTACGTGGAATTCGGCTATTGTGAGTGTGCGAGGTTGAGAGCTGACTGGTGATTTAAGTGTAATGGTGAATTCGCCGCAATCCACCTGTCGATCTGCCGAGGGAGGTGCAATAGGTGAAAGGAGTGTAGAGAGGTCTATGTCTGCACCTGATAGGATGAGGTTCCTGACTGTGTTGGAGATCTGAGGTGGTTCCAGGACTGGAGCGTTATGCGGAATGGGAAGGGGTGTGGCTGTGGCTAGGGTGAAGGGGGCTCGTGCGGAAGATGTGTTAGTACAGAAAGCATTTTGTTGGGGAGGGTTAGTAATGGAAGTGGGTGCTTGAAGGGGTGTAGAGGGAAAAAAGGGGGGATTAGTAGATGAAAAATTAGCAGGCAGAGGGAGAGCGTTGGAGCTTGTAGGAAAGGATTGAGTGGGAATAAGTTGGGTTGAAGAATGAGGGAGATTAGAAGAAAGATTGGGAATAAGTTGAGTTGAGGAATGAGGGAGATTAGAAGAAAGAGAGAACTGAGGAGGGTTGAGAGTCGGGGGAATTGCTTGAAGAGTCGGACTGGAGTTTTCGCTGGATTGTGGGGCTGGAGGCCAAAGGAGGGGGATGGGAAGTCCTGGAGTGGCATGATTGTCCGGTGGATTCACTGTGTGTTGGTTGGTAGAAGGTGCTGTCTGTCCTGTAGCTTGAGGTTGCTTTTTATTAGTTTTCTTGGTTGCTTTCTTGGGTGGTCCAGGGGGGTTTCTTGAGTGCTGAGTAGCGGAGGGTTGTGGATAGGGGGTGTGGCGGGAGCGAGTTGGTCTACTGTCTTGGGGAGGCGGAGTTGGTGACGGGATGGCTTCGTACAGTTTCAGAAGTTCGGATTTATTGCAGCGGGTGGGGATGGAAATTCCGGCGTTTGTGAGTGACTGGCGGAGTTCAGAAACAGTCATTTTGTTGGATGTGATGGATGAAGATCTTGCAGAGGCGTAGGATGAAGCGGGAGACGGTAAGTTGCGGTTTGGAGATGGAGATTGCGTGCGGCAATGGGTTCTTGTGACTGTGGAGCGGATGGGTCTTCGGCCTCTGATAGGAGCCTCGGTGTTTATTTGGGTTTGTTGTTGTGTTTGGGCTGGTGTTTCCGGGAGAGCTGGTGTGTTGGTTCCTTCCATGTTGCTTGTTGATGGCTTTGATGTTGGATTGTTCTGTTTAGGTTGTGAGTTCTTTCTGTTGTTGTCGCTGTTTTGTTGTAGCTGTTGTTGTAGTAGCTGTTGTTGTTGAAGCTGTTGTTGTTGTAACGTTAGCTGTTATTGTTGATGTAGGCTGTTGTTGCTGTTGTTGTTGCTGTTGTTGTTGTTGTTGCTGTTGTTGATGTTGTAGCTGTTGTAGTAGCTGTTGTTGTAGCTGTTGTTGTAGCTGTTGTTGTAGCTGTTGTTGTAGCTGTTGTCGTTGTTGTTGTTTGTTGTCGAGGGTTTTCGGTAGTTTGTTAGGAGCAGGGTTTGTCCTTGTTCTTCGGAAAACGAAGGTAAGGGAGTAATATCTAGCTAGGCTATTTATAGTAATTTGGAATAGATCTGATTGGCTAACTAATGAGTGTAGATAGGCGGCCAGCTGCGGTCAATTATATCACGTGCTCCTCTCGAAATTAGTTTAAAAACTTCACTTATGGGTTACTTTTAAGCTGGTAAAGATTTAACTGTACCATTATGTGTCTCTATAGCTGCATGGAAGTTATTAATGAAGATAATTCTTTTATTTAGCAAATTATTAAAGGTGCCATAGAATGAAAATCTGGATATACCTATAACTTAATAATAAAAGTTCAGTACATGTTCTCTTGTAAATCTCCGTAAAATCCCCAGTAAAAACAGGCCAATTGGAACAAAAAATTAATACTGTGACAATCCAAAACAGATTCTCAATATGCACACCTCAGACAGCATTTGACTGGCAACAAAGTTTCCTAGTGACATCACAACAATGATATTTTTTCCTAATTTAAAGTTTATTTTAGTTAAAATTATATTTTCTTAAAAACTGGACAGGCTTAAAGGAGCAATTCTTTGAAGCAGGGAGCCATGATCACAGAGTCGCACCTGTTTACAGCAAGTCTAAACTTAAAATGCAGGATATACGGATTCGAAATTTATGCGTAGAAGTAGTTGAGCATCAGGTACTGACATGAGCTTCTTGGCGTCAGAGTAGAGCCTATTAATATATTCATGATCCTTACAAATATGGTCAAAGCCAACCACATCTTAAAAGGGCCAGTTCCAAAGATGGTCCCCCTTTCTGGATAATTTTTGTTAATAATGGGTAGTAACAATTTTGGGCAAAAATAACTTACCAAAACCACAAACTGTACCTTCAATGTAGAAATCATAAAACAGTTTAATCTATTGCATCAATGCATTATATGGCACCTTCAACTCTTAGTAAAAGTTATCTTTTATCTTCATATTAGATTTATGGGTGAAATGTGACCTGGAAAGGATTTATTTCTACAATTCTGTATAATCTACAGCTGTGTGGCAGTTAGTGGAAAGATTATGTTTTCTTTATCTATGGTATGCCTTTTCACAAAAAAAGAAAAAGTATATTTATGTGTGTGTGAGCAGGTATTACCTACTGCATCAGGAATGAAGAAATTATATCCCAGAAGACTGTGATGCAGCAGGGATGGAATGATGCCCTTGAGGCCGGAATAACTCCAGTCTGACTGTAGTGCACTCATGCGGATGAAGAGTGGTTTGTGGCTGGACCTTTGCAACCAAAAAAAAAATATATATAAATATATATATAGATATTATGCTAACCAGTTAGCATTTAGGCAGATCACCTACTGCACCTTTAATAACTTATTTCTAATAATTGATATCTTTTATACATAATGACATTACATAATAGTTTACTAGATATTTCTCAAGATAGTAGCATTCCACCGAAAGTGCAAAGGCTTAAATAACTCCAACAATGATTTGTGTTCTAGTTGGCCAAATAAAAGTAATTGATTTGTACCAAATACCTTGTTCCTGAGGTCACAATAGCATTGTCCCCTATCCTCTCTGCCAAGTCAGCCAAGAGTCTGATATATTCATCCCCAACCAATTCCAGAGGGGGGCGCAGGGCCTGTTCCTCAAAAGGGTTTCCCTCACCGCCTTCCAGGATGACATACTCCATGCCCAAATGGCTATGTAAGCTGTCCACTTTGTCCAGAAACCAAGTCGTGGCTTCAGGGTTTGTGATGTTGAGCTTCACACTGTACTTTCCTTTCCACCGAGTCAACAAAGGCACCTTATGAGAAACAATAATGGTAATGCATGGGTCAACTAACTATATATTGAGTATTTCGAGGAATGTAAACAAAACAACGGTCCCAACTTATTTCCTGCTGTACATTTTTAATTTCTATAGATTCAAACAACCCAAAAAGGTCCACATATTTGGAAATAATGTCATTATAGTTGTTTTAACATTAAGTTATGATTAAATTACCCCTTGTTACAGTTGCTCATGTGCCAATGGCATGACCACATTGAAATAGTCTATAGAAGTCTGCACTGTGTATAAAAAGTGTGTCGCTAGATGTTGGCTAAGTATATTAGTGAAAATAGATGAAAATACATTCGATGTGTCAAAATTATAATATTACAATATCATGTAAAGAATTTTGTAAATCTCCTACCATAAATACATCAAAACTATTTTTTTTATGATCAGTAATATTTAAGGCTAAGAACTTAATTTGAACAAATATTATGGTGATTTTCTCTATGTATTGATTCTTTTGAACCCCTTAGGTTCCTGATTGTCAAAAAGTTGTAGGCCAAATATTGTCCTATTCTACAAACCACACAATTGAACAACCCCTAAAATACACCTGGAAGACACACAACCACATAAGACGTCAAAATTAGGTCAGATTTAATTCGCCAGCATATAACGGCAATGTTATTTTGACGTCTAATAACCTTGTGAAATGAGAATGATATTTGGTTCATTTTAGGTTGTGTTGGAAAGTCAACAAAATCCAACATTGAGCCAACATCTTAAACCAGCACCATATTTATGTCAAATACTGACATGTGTTCGTCAGGTATGGCAACCAAAATACGTCTGATAGACATCATAGTAACGTCTACACAACATAAAGCTGCAACATCATTAGACATTGATATTTTGTTGTTTTTAGGTTGCGTTAAAGAGTAACCTAAATAAAAATCGTCTGTCTGATGTTTGATATTGACGTTGGCTTGACGTTGGGTTCTCACACAATCCAATTTTCTTTTCCAAACAAAATGCAACATCCCCACGACATTGAGTACAATGATTTTGCTGGGTGCACAATGATGTATTAAAAATGGAAAGAGCAAAAGCTGTTATTGCATTTAAATTACTTTTTTTCTTTTCTTTTTTTTTTTACAATTTCAAGACTTAATGTTTGTTTTTACAAAATAAATTGAAAAATAAAAATCAAAAATCACTACATGCCTGTTTATAACTAAAACTAAAATGGCTAAACCTGAACTACTGCCAAAAATAATATTATTAATAATAAGTAAAATAATTAGTTTTTCCTTCTTTATTTGGCTTTTTAAATTCAACAAGAGATGTCAATTCATTGCTATTCTGTTTATCAAGACCAACTTTGTAGCTTAAAACACTAAAATAACTTAAAATAAAACTAAGAAAAAGTTAGCATAAATACAACAAGAAAATATTAAAAATGACAAAAAAAATAATACAACAAAAAAAATCACTTAGGGCTCTTTTTAACGTTCTAGGCGCGATCTCAGTTGTGTCATGCCATTTGCCATGTGGACTTTGTAAGTAGAAAAACTGAACGCTTCACCAGCGAAAAAACAGAGCATCTGCACGAGGATAAAGAACAAGCAGACAGTTTTACCAGTTGGCCCTGTGGTCCTGAGGGCAGACTGAGCCAGTAGTCTTCAATGCCTTCTTGGATGGAAGTCTGGAACTGCTGTGTGTCCACACTCAGGTACGGGGACAGGGTGATGGAAATGTTTAGAAGCTTAACAAAAGGAAGGTCCCTAGTCTGTCTCTTAGACGTCCTTTTCTTGCCATTGAGGTAGCTGTGGTCCTAGAAAGATAATACAAAATTTAAAGTCTGTTTATTTTACTAGTTCACATTCCTCACACTGTGTCCTAAAACACCCGACAAGACAAGATTCCAGCAACAAGCAATTTGGCTGACTTTTATTTTCATTTTTTATTCAAGATCTAAGGTGAACTATCTGCTGCTGCTTTTAGTAGTATGGCAATAAGTGTCACATAAAATGGTATTCAAACTCACACTGGTAGCACTTAACACTGAATAAAACACATACTCAGTACCTGAGGTGATCATTGTCGTAGTATTTTATATTCTGTTGTTGTGTTGGCGCTATATTAGAAATCACTGATAATTAGAAAAAAAAACTCGTTTTAACATGGAAAAGTGTTAAAGTGTGTTAATCTTCAATCAAAGTCTGAACATTGGCTTTCATGTTTTGAGTGGCGATCCTTCTGTTAACGTCAACTGCATGGTTTCCATAGCAACTGCATAGCATTATTCTAGCACATTCCTCTTACCATTAGCAAAGAGCTTAGAATGACCACTATAGTGTAATTTGGGAAACAGCCACTAGAGGGCGTGGCGGCCATTTTGGAATGAAAACTCCAATAGAACAACAGCATATAATAAGTCTGTTAAATAAACTATTAAAAGTGCTGATGATTGTGATAGTAAGTGTTGTTTTGTCGTCTTTCAGGTTGTATCTCGGTTTTAATGCGCTTTTTAAATAAATAAATATAAAACAAAGCAGCTGCTTGCCATCGTGACAGTAATGAGATCCAATGGACGGCCGATCATTTTCACTCCAAAATGGCGGAATCCGGAGCTGTTGCTGGGCGCTGCTGTTGCAATGGAACGTTCCATTGAGTGTCGCCTCTTGGTCATTCTAAACTCTTTTCTGTTAGTTTGCTTTGAGGGAATGATCCTCTGAAAAAAAGCCCAGTACATCAAGTACATCAGCATGCTAAAATAAAAGTCTCAACAGCTTCCAGTTCATGTCCAATGACTTATGATATCTAAGGGTTGTTTATAAATCACACATAGCACACATGATTAAATAGGTGACATATAAAAGCTTTTCATTAGGTTTGTAAAACTGTAATAAAATAAAACCAGGGTTTTTGCAGGTTCATAAAAAGTATTTAAATTCGGTTTAATCAAATTTAAGGTCTTAAACGCTACAACAAAAGTAATAATTCAAGAGG